AAATACAAACCCACGTCTTTTCCCCCGTACCGGACCGGGGACCGGCAACGGTATTGCAACCCTCGGTGCTGCTCCCGCGCCTCGCTCAGCCAGTGAGCGGGAACCGGTCTGTATGTGGGATCCGAACCCTCGGGCGGGAGCGCTGCCGCGCTTCCCAAGCGGCGCACTTATCCAGTGCGCCACCGGGCCGGCCCAAAAGGTTCCATTTTTCAAAGCTTATAGAGATACTGCTGCAGCTTAGGCATGATGTGTGTGGTGTGTGTGGTGTGTGTGGTGTCTATGTGTGTGTGCGGTCATTTCAGGTCTGGGCTCTCGAGAAACACTCACCCCACACCTCCCAGCAGCAAGTGCACATGCAATCATTCTTGCCAACCAAGAAGATGCCTCATGATTTGGTTTCCCCTTGGAAAATGCTAAGAAAGAGGAAGCAAAAGCAATCTTAGAAAAATCTATTTTGGTTTGTTCGACTTACCACATCCTCCCCTCAATGGATGGGGACAAGAAATGAAAAGGGACACACTAGGAAATAAGAAGTGTGGGCTGGGGAAAGAAACTGGGCAATGACAGAGCAGCTTACCGGCCAGTGAGCAGCAGGGACAGGCGGTTGATGGGTGTCTCACCCTCCACAGCATAGGTCTGCTCAGTGGCCAGAGTCAAGACCTGCTTCTCACAGCAGTGAACCATCTCCTTGTATGTCTGTAGGGGCACCTGCAGGGGCAGGCACAGCGTCTTGTAGAGGAGGTCAAACTCCTCAGGAAGGGTGTCCTTGCGCAGGCGGTATACCAGGTACACCAGCTGCAGCAGGCAGGCCACTGCCAGCAGGAAGTTCCACAGGACAATGTCCAGGCCACAGGCACTGAACCAGCCCCACAGCATGCAGCACAGGTAGCCCATACCCAGGACACCAAAAAGGTAGAAGCACCCATACACCCCACTGCCCCCCATGAAGCCCAGGAGCAAGAAGCAGTTGGCCAGGTGGTAGAGAGCCCCTTCAAAGTCCTGCTTCCAGCTGGTGCATGCTGGCCCCTGCCAGAGCAGCTGGCCCACCATGCTGCTGTTGGTGCTCATCTTTGGGCCGTCCCAAAGCCTCGCTGGGCTCTAATACTGTCTCCACATAGGAAACTAAGAAAATGAATTAATCTGTCCTTCCAGGTGTCTTCTCACCTCCAGCTTCTCACCACCAACTCCACCTTTCCTGGGAGGAATGCTTCCGGTGGCTTTGGGAATGAACGGTAGAACACAGTACACTTCATGGAGAGTTTAAAAACTTTTCTCTCTCCCTCAGCAAGGCTCTGGCCCTCCCTGCAGAGCTCTGGCAAGCTTCCTTGGCTCCAGGCACCAACTCCACCTTTCCTGGGAGGAATGCTTCCGGTGGCTTTGGGAATGAACGGTAGAACATAGTACACTTCATGGAGAGTTTAAAAACTTTTCTCTCTCCCTCAGCAAGGCTCTGGCCCTCCCTGCAGAGCTCTGGCAAGCTTCCTTGGCTCCAGGTTTCTTAGGACATTCTTCAGATTTGGTTCTTAGCAGAAAACCTAAATCATCCCGAGGGAAAGGTAGAAATATGGGACTGAAAACTTCAGCGGTGTGGGCCACATCCTGCTCCGGTTGTTCTCAAGCAAAATGAGGACAGCCCAGCATGAGAGGCACACTTGTGTTCCATTTGGAATGCGTTCTCTCTTGGCACCGGAAGAAAGGGTGACCCCAGATGGATACCATGTTTGGAATTGGAATCCAAGAGGTACTGGCAGTGAGAAAAAACAGGCCAGGCACACAGGCAGACTGGCAGAGCACTTCACATACCTCCCAGAGGACAAGATAAGACCTCAGGTTAAGAGAGGCAGGCAAGGAGGGACAAAGGAAAAGCGAGAATAGAATTTATCTCAGCACCTCAGGCAGGACACAGTCCAGAGCTCCCTGTAGGGACAGCCAAAAGGCTCTCCTGAGGTAGGAGGACACATCAAAGCAGGAAAGTATGGGACTATTATCAGAAAAAATCGTAAGAGTGAAAACTGGAAAACCCCTTGAAAGTCTTTATTAAGTCATACTACAAATATGAGGCATCTATTTGACATCCATTTAACAAAAGTAGCTATGTAAGGAAGCTTTTTAAATCTAAGCTGACTTTCCCCTGCATATATCTGAATCTCGTAATAGTTAATAAATAGTAATATGTTGCCCAGATCATCATCCCACCCACCCCGATATTTCAAAATTATAACTACCACCTATTAAAGATCCATGAAGTACCAGACTTAGATTAAGCATTTTACACAATTGTTATTTAGTCATCATAACAACCCTTCAAAATAATTATCCTCCTTCTAGATTGGAAAGAAACTGAGGCTGAGAATGGTAACAAGCTTCCACAGCTAGTAAGTGGCAGAACCAGGATTTGAACCCAAGTCTATCAGACTTAATACTCTGTCCAAGTGGTTTGCACAGTTAAGTGGAAATACAGGGCTAGATCCATGACTCCAAACCCCATGCACCTCTTGTGAAGTCTGATGACTTCCAAGGAACTTCTAGATAAACCTGGGCATCTACTTTGGGCTGCCAAGAAATTAATCTGAGTATGCAAACATTAAATTAAGAAATGTGACTCTTTGACTTCCAAATGACTCCTTAATTCTTCCTCCTTGCTGCTGGGTTAGCACATGCTACCTTTACTTTTATTGTCCCTGAGGTACAGGTGGAGTGTCCAGTAACCTCTCAGAGCTGCTCAGCTGCTCAATCCATAGGGACTTTTACTATACTTCTATAACCTAACTAAAATTAATGAGGAACTAGTACTTGTCAAATATGTTGAAGAGTAGAAGTTTCCAACTCAGTGAGTATTTGAGTACCTACTATAAGCCAAGCACTTGAGAATCAAAAATTCCCAAGAGAAGCTTTTATTTTATTAGGGGAAAGAGATCTCAAAAACTAATGGCTATTTGTGTGTGAATCACAATAACTGAGTTAAGTTTAAAGAGTGGTGGCAGCCTAGAAAGCACGGTGGCACTGGGGAGGGAAGACATAAGAAGAGCTAGTATTGGATTTGAGATTTAGGGTTGCATTCACCAGGTAGGCAGAGGGAGAAGAGCATTTCCAGTGGTGAGAACAGCTGAAGCACAGCGACAGAGGTGTGCAAACATACGGCATGTTGAAGCCAGTTTTTTAATTTAATTCAAATCAATTGACCAATAAATGTATATATTATTTCCTCCTTTCTAAAGTTGGAGAGAAAAAAATCAGTGGTACAGGAAAAAAGTTAGAGAGCCTGGAGAAAAAATGCCCCCAAGGCTCCCTCATGGCAATGATTTGGACCCTTAATGTCATTTGAGCAGTGGAGTTTGGGTATTTCCGTGTGCTGCCTTTTATGTCACTCGCCTGCCTCCCAACCAACCCACTTACTTTAACAAGCAGCAGCTGCTCATCCTTCCACCTTAGTCATGCACCCCTTGAGCTTCCAGAGTAGCTATTCCTGCCAGCTGTGAGCAGGAAAGTCAGAAGCACCAAAACAGAGAAGCAACCAAGGCTCTGCCCAAGATAGAATTTCAAAGCAGGTCATCTTTCTCAGTAAGCCTGCCCAATGGGTTGGCCCTGACTCTTTAAAGAGACAAGCAGATCCATTAACTCCTGTTTACTTGCCCTGCTGCCTAGACTGAACTCAGCCCACTTCCCTGTCAATCCACATATATGTGCTTTTCTGAGCAGAGGGTACTAACATTTATCAAGCAGCTATTGTTTCCTCATGTCATCCTATGAGAGCTGTTTTTAATGGAAGAAACAGGCTCAGAGAGGCTAAGGAACTTGCCCAAGGTGGTACTAACATTTATCAAGCAGCTATTGTTTCCTCATGTCATCCTATGAGAGCTGTTTTTAACGGAAGAAACAGGCTCAGAGAGGGTAAGGAACTTGCCCAAGGCCACAGAGCTAGCATATGATTAGGGATTAAATCCTAGGTCAGTGTGACTATAAATTATATATTCTCTGTGCTATATACCATTCTACTAGGTACTTTGGGGGGGTTATGTATATCCATATACAGGTTTATTTATTGCTACGGGGGATTTCAGTATGCTGCTGGAGTGGCATACATGTCAGAGAATCAAAGGTACATAAACCCCACATACTGCATGTAGTGATAGTGACATTGACGCCCATAGGATAGGATTTATGATCAGAATACACAACAAGGAAAAGTTGTATCTTTCTTGTTTTTAAATTCAGATTTGATGAAAGAGAAAAGAACAATTTACTGTGTGTCAGAATGGTATATTCTTATAAGGAATTCCACAAAAATGAAGGCAGAAACACAGTAGAAAATATCTGGGGGAGAAAAAAGTAAATAAACAGAAATCATGTCATTTGTTGATTCAATACAATAAGCATTTATTCTGGACATACTATGTGTGCCAGGAATAGGGGATATAAAGATGAACAAGACAATCATCACTGTCAGGGAAATTTTGGTTGAGTAAGGCAGAATGACCCAGGAAAAACTGCAATCCAATAAAATAAGTATACACAGGGTTTAAAGGAAAGACACTGCTGGTGAGTGAAGAATTCAGGAGAAATATCATAGGGAAGGTGGTGTTTAAGCTGGTCGAAAAAGATGAGGTGTTCCCCAGGGGAGGGCATTCCAGGAAGGGGGAACAGAATGTGAAGTCAAGTCCAGAAGTAAAACAAAAATACATGGCATATTCTGGTAACAGGGAATGGCTTGTTGTAGGTAAATCAAAAGGAGCAGCAGGACACAAGGCATGAGGGGCAGATTATGAAGTCAGCTGGCTAAACAGTGCCTCTCAAGTGTGCTCATAAACCTTGGCTGGGCTTCAAACTGTGACTGGTCCATGCTAAGGACAGAAATTGAGAGTAAGTGTTTAGACATTTTTGTAGTAATTTAACAGAGAAATGTAGGGCCTTCGAATTTAGTAAAAAAAACTTCAGGCTTGTACAGTGTATACCTTTTTTTATAGTGTATGTTTTTGTATTTCATTTTTCTAATATTGGTCTGTGATGAATTGGAAAAAAAAAACAAAACAAAAAACCCTGGTGCTTCACCACATATTTTGAGAAACACCGTGTTTGAAATTAATGTTTTCCTAATATAGATACTAAAATAGAACAGAGGCATGATTTTAGGCTTTGGACATACTGCCAAGTTGATCTTAAGCAGACACTATTAGTTGTTTTCCTATGGCCATTTCCCCCCTTTTGTAGCTGATGAAACTGATTTTGCTTGGGCACTATGTTAGGGAAGGTCAGCTTCTCCCCTAGTTGTCAAGGTCTGAACTAAGTTAAGACTGGTCGAAGCAAAACACAGTATCTCATTCCCATTGATGGCAAGTAGCTTAAGAGGCGGCATGTGAACAACGACATGTAAGAGAAAGTGTAGAGGGGAGCTTCTTTTAAAAAGTACACTTCCTGATAGAAAGACAGTAAGGAGGCCTGCTACTTTTTATCTGGGCTTAAATACAGTTGTGTGACGATGAAATGCTTGAAGTTACCATGGCCATGCAATATGATATGCCTAAGGATGAGGAGGATAAAGAACAGAAAAACAGAACAAGCCTAGGTGCCTGAAAGCATCACTAAGTCATTGTCTCAAACCTGGAACTTTTTTTTTTTTTTTTGTCCTTTTTGAGACCGGCCGCACCGCGCTCAGCCAGTGAGCGCTGTGAGTGCTGTGAGCGCACCGGTCATCCCTATATAGGATCTGAACCCGTGGCGGCAGCGCTACTGCGCTCCCAGCGCTGCACTCTCCTGAGTGTGCCACGGGCTCGGCCTGAAACCTGGAACTTTCAATCTCCAGACTTCATGACCAGGGAGATAAATTACATTTTGTGCTGCTTACATCAGTGTAGTTGGGTATTCTGGTAATTGCAACTGAATGCATCCTGATTTGGATCTCCATAAGGACTACTCTTCAGAGAACAGTTCTCTGAACATCTGCTGATTGTCTTATTCTATAAAAACTTAACATGAGACAACTTTTATGCTCTACCAATAATTTTCTTTCTAAAGTTTGAGAAGACTGTGGGAGGAATTGCTCCTATAAACTCAATTTGACCATTCAGGAT